TTTTTATGTTTTTAAAGACTTCTCTTCTGCTCACCAAGCCTGCATTTATTTGATCAAAAATACAGTAAAGCAGTAAAATTGTGAAATATTTTTACTATTTAAAATAGCTGTTTTCTTTGTGAATATCTGTTAAAATATAATTTATTTCTGTGATCAAAGCTGTATTTCCAGCATCATTACTCCAGTCTTCAGTGTCACATGATCTTCAGAAATCATTCTAATATGCTGATTTGCTGCTCAAGAAACATTTCTGATTATTATTATTATTATTATGCGCATCACAGAAATACATTACAGTTTAACAGAGATTCACATAGAAAACAGCTGTTTGAAATAGTAAAAATATTTCACAATTTTACTGCTTTTGCTGTATTTCTGATCAAATAAATGCAGGCTTGATGAGCAGAAGAGACTTCTTTAAAAAACATGAAAAATCTTACTGTTCATTTTTATACCATATAACAACCCAAGTTTCCATTTTTGCTCAAATGTAATAATTCTCATATATCCATGTGTGTCTCAGGTTCTTCTTCTGATGTTTGTGTTTGTCTCCTCTTCCCAGAATTCCCTACTTCGAGACGAGTGCGGCGACCGGCGCGGAGGTGGATAAAGCCGTGGTGACGCTGCTGGATCTGGTGATGAAGCGGATGGAGCAGTGTGTGGATAAACCGGCGGCGGAGCACGACACGGATGGCTCCAGCAAACTGGACGCCGCGGCGGGAAACCAGAAGAAGTGTGCGTGTTAAAGCAGACCTACTGTATTACTGATATGTGTGGACATTGTGTTTTCCCTCAGAGAGTTTGTGAGAGCTGTCGTACGGCCTCGTGATCTTTAATAACCCCGTCCAAATTTAGCCCAGATTATTACCGTCTGCAAATGTGTCTGAAATATTCGATCTTAGGTCAGAAACTCACACTAAAACCCTGATGTGGCCATAATCTCGATCGGACTTGATTCTTAAACACTCATCATCTAAATAGATGTACATAAACAAAAACAGAAATATCTGGCTCACCGAGAGCTGAGCGACATTCATACACTACCAGTCAGAAGTCTGGAATAATTATGACTTTTTAATGTTTCTGAAAGACGTCTCTTCTGCTCAGCAGGGCTGTGTTTATTTGATCAAAAATATAGTAAAATTGTGAAATATTTTTACTATTTCAAACAGCTGTTTTCTATGTGAATCTCTGTTAAACTGTAATGTATTTCTGTGATGCGCAGCTGTATTTTCAGCATCATTACTCCAATCTTCAGTGTCACATGATCTTCAGAAATCATTCTAATATGCTGATTTGCTGCTCAAGAAACATTTCTGATTATTATCAATGTTGAACACAGTTGATTGGGGTAAGTACAATAAAATAAGATTTAAAAAAAAAAGGGGAGGGGGGCATGTTTATTGAACAAGGATGCATTAAATTGATCAAAAGTGACAGTAAAGATTTCTATTTCAAATAAATGCCGTTTTTTAAACTTTCTTTTCAAGTTTCATTGTATAAAAGCGTCTGCCAATTTTTTTTCCTTTCGTTTTTAGTGCATAAATATTATTAGTAAAATAGAAATAGTAATTATTGGGTATAGTAAGAGTTTATTTCAATAATGTTTGTTATATATTACTCATTTAAATGTTGCAGTTTCACTTGATGTTACTTTTTGTAAATATATATAGACTACAAATTTTAAATTAATAAGCAGAGATTCACATAGAAAACAGCTGTTTTAAATAGTAAAAATATTTCACATTTTTGACTGTATTTTTGATGAAATAAACGCAGCCCTGCTGAGCAGGAGAGAGGTTGGTCTGGTAGAGTATGCTCATGGTTTGACGGCTCTGGAGTCTGTGCATGACTGACTTGAGCTTGTGAATGTGTCTCTGGTGTCGTGAGGCTGCGGATGCTTGCGTGTTCATGCGTGTCGCTGCATGCGGTCACACACTCCATGCAGAGCTCTGGAGAAACTCCGCTGAAGAATGCTTCATATTCCCGTCTGAATCTTCTCGTCCTGCTAGCTTGTGTTCTCATCAGCCCTCAGAAGTGCAGATTCATGGTTGAATAACTGCGGTGTGTTTGTGAGCGGCTCCAGCACACGCTTCTGACTTCTGGACACTTGAAAGAAATCCATGTATTTTTAAAGCATCTGTGTATAAGAATGGAGTGAATAAACTGGGAAACATTTAATAATCGGGCAGATTAATGCAGATCTCCTTCTAATGTCATGGTTTTTAGGCTAATGTCCTGAAAACACACCCAGATCATATTTCACCCTAAATTCAAAACCATTAGGATTTTTTGCATTGTGACTTTATTTTCATGACGGGTTAAAAGAAAAAAAAAATTGACACCAGACTCTCATTACAGCAAGTATATGAATGTTTTTTTTTTATTACTTTTTTTATTTATTTCTCATGATTCTCAATGTCTTTCATTACTGTGATGCAGTATTTTATTTAATTAATTACATTTTTTTAAAGTTGCAGTAATGAGAATTTAGATTTTTTTATTTTTTTAATTGTGAAATTGTTGGATTGCAAAAACATCTCGGTCCTATATAAAAATAATAGGTTTTATTTTCTGAATGCGAAATATAATGTCTTATTTTTGTCATGACTTTGGAGTGAAATGCGACATGTATTTTAAATATCATGAAAACATGTTCAGGTCATATTTCACCCTAAATTCGAAACCGTTAAGATGTTTTGCATTGACAATTTTCATGACAATTAAAAAATTACATTTTAACACTAAATTCTCATTACTATATGTAAATGTTTTACTTTAGATTTTTTTTTCTCATTAAAAATCTCATTACTGTAATACAATGATGACCAGTGATGTTGTTCTCTTGAAGTTTACATTGATTGAAGGATTTTCTCTCCTCGTGCCTGTAACGATCTACTGACCGAAGAAACGCTGCCCGAGTCTTTCTTAACTCCTGTAAGCTCTTTTACTGCATCACCAGTATATAATAAAACACCAAATAACACAACTGGTTAAAAAAAATAACAACTCGGTTTCCTTTGAGAGCGTTTATTTTTTGTTATGCGTGTAACATGTTACTAAAGAATAAAGAGGAAAAAATGCTCTGGAGTTTTAATGGTCCATTTGTGAATGATGCTTGTATTTTAAAATAACTAAAAATAAAAAAATGTCCAAAAATATTTTTACTTATATTTTAAAGCATGTTTATGTAAATACATAAAAAAAAAGTCTGAGATTGGAAATATATTTTCTTGCTCCTGAAATATATTTTGGTATATGAAGGTTGAAACTAAATGTATTTTTAATTTCATAAATATATTTAATTGAGCTTCACCGTTTATAACACATATTTAGCATATTTTAAAAATATATTTTGGTTAGAATGTTTTTGTTTATATATTTCAAAATGTATATTTTAAAATATACGAAAAAGGCCAAAAATGTATTTTGATAAATAGTTTTGTAAATATATGTAAATATATTTTCCGCCACAATATTTTTTGTATATTTTTGAGAAAAAATTTTAAATAAAAGCAAAACCCTAAATTTCATAAGAAAACACTAATAAAAATAATAATTTAAATTTTTTAAATAATTTTATTTATTTTTTTAAATTTTTTATGTAAATATACAAAAAAAAAAGTCTGTAAGAGAATTTTATTTTCTTGCTCCTGGAATACATTTTAAAATATATTTCATTGAGCTTAATGTTTATAACACATTTTTAAAACATACTTTGGCCAGAAAGAAAAAATAAAAAAACTGGGTCATATGGATCAAAACTGGCTCAAATGTTTGTAATTTCTCAGTGTAATTTAACCATCAGTGTCCGTAAATATAGAAATGAAAACAACCATTAAGATGTTTTGCATTTTCCCTAAATTTTTTCTTGCAATTCTAAATTACAGGAACAAAGTCAAAATTGTGAGACATAAACTCAAAATTAAATTTTGACCGCTGGCGGTTTTAATTACTTTTTTAAAAATATTTTATTATTAATTTTATTAATTGACAGTTAATTATTAGACAGTTATTAAAGTTATGAATCAAGTAGACATACACACAAAATAAATCTTGATTTATAATATTTTATTACCATTTGGTAGTTCCACGTTAATCTTTGAACTCCATATCAAACACCCTGGAGCTAAATCTGCAGCTATATATATAAATGATTGTTTATTTTTTTAATAAACAATATTTTTTATAATTATAATAAAATACATATTTGCATAATTGATTATTATTAAATAAATTAAATTTATATTAATGTAAAATAATATGGTGTATTAACACAAAAATGCAATACATTTATACATAAATATCTATTAATTAAACATCATTTATGTTAATATATCAATATGCGGTATATATTAACACAAATATGTCTTTATAATTACAATAAAATACATTTATACATTAAAATTTATTAATGTAATTTATGTTAATATATTAACATGGGGTATATATTAACACAAATATTTTTTTATACTTATAATAAAATACACATTCACACAAATAATTGCTTATTATTAAATAAATACATTATATTAATATATAATAATATGCTGTATTAACATGTATTTACAATTATAATAAAACACATTTATACATAAATATTTATTATTTAAAAAATGTAATTCATATTAATATATTGTATATAATATCACAAATAATTACTTAATAAATGCATTTTACATTTATATTAATATAAATCAAATACTGTGGTTTATTAACAAATATGTATTTATAATTTGAATAAAATACATTTATACATAAACATTTATTCATTATTTAAAAAGAGTAAATGTCTAATTTATATTAATATAAATTGCATTTATTACATAATAAATACAAAATTATGTATATATGTTTTTATTATAATTTAAAATGAATATGTCAATATAGACACCATATTTTAATTTACACTTATTAAATAAAAAAATAAATGTAAACATAATATGTAATATATATATATATATATATGTGGTATTTGTTCTTGAAAACAGTAATGTGTGTCAACAGAAGTGTGTGTGTGAGTGAGTGAGTGAGTGAGTGAGTGTGTGTGCGTGTGTGCATGTATGTGAGACGCACTTGTTGTGCAGCTGTTGGTCCAGCAGTTGTCTCTGCAGGCGGCTGTTTGTTTCTCTCTCCTCCATCAGTTCTCTGTGTGTGTGTCGGTGCTGGACGTCCCGTCGACTCGCCTCTTCCTCGGCCTCGTTCAGCTGCCGCTTCAGCGAACGGATGCGCTGAGTCATCTAAACACACACACACACACACACGCATCAACTTCAGATGCTGTACATACACACATTTCCATCATGGAACAAAAAAATTTAAAAAGATAACAGAGACATTTTTTCTGTCAAATTGGACTTTGATTCTTGTATTTCTTCTATTTTTGTATTTTCATGCCAGAAAATATTAACTATATAAACAGAGAACTGCAAGAAATAAATTGAATTCTGAGTTTATCTCTCACTTTTTTTTCTTACACCACAGAATAAAACACAAAAAGGTCATTGTGCCACTTTTTTAATAATAAATATGTATTTATATATGTATTTTAGAAGAATTATAAATAAATATTTGTGTTAAAGAACCATATTAATTTATTAATATATATATATATAATTTATATTTATATAAACTACATGTATTAAATAAGTAATAATGAATATGTATTTTATTGTAATTATAATAAATATGTGAGTCAGTATAGATACCATAGTAATATACATTAATATAAATTGCACTGAATAAATACATATTTATTTATTAATGCATTTATCGTAATTGTAAATATGTGTGTTTGTGTAATATTTATATTAATATATAGGTATATATAATTTAAGAAATGTAATTTATTTTATAAAAAACATTTGTGCAAATATATATTAAAACCTCAAAAAAGTCAGAATTATGAGCTAAAAAGTCACAATTAACTTTAATAGTTTTATTCTGAGGTGGAAACAAGCTTCCATAGTTTCACTGAAGTTCAATACTAAGTTCTGGGAGTTTGTTCAAATCATCAATGCTAACTATGAGAACAGCACTTGCCTCGGTAAACACTGCTAAAAAATATAGAAAAATTATAAAAGTCTGAAATATGGGATTGAAAATATTAATTTAAATTAATTTCCAGCTTTAAATGAGCTATATTTCAGAATGAGCTGTTTCTATGTGCACTAACTGAATGAGAGTAAATGAGGTTCCTAATTATTGTTCAGCTTTTCATTCTCTGTGCATATGATGTGTGATATGATATGATTTGTGTGTGTCTCCCTCTGCTGGTGTGTGTGTGTGTGTGTGTGTG